TTTTTTTGGGGGAGGGAGGGGTCGAATTAGAGCAATTTGAATATGCTCATGCTTTCATACACACAATACACAATTGAATACTGAATTTCCGAGGTGTGTATGTGTGGGTTAGTGTGCATACAAAGATTTCCTATTTGTTCACTGAGAGGGTCTAGAAGCATTAACATCCCAGAAAAATGAGCAGACCTAGCGCCCAGGTCTTAGTCTCTGAAACCATTCTCCGTACAGAGAACCTTGCCTCTCCCCTTCCCTTCCTCCTGAGAAAGTGGCTGACACCAGGGCTGGGCAGGGAAGATAGAAGTGAGCCTGGAGCAGCTAGTGACTCCATGAATTAAAGGTTCGAAGGAGCGTCCAGTGGCCAGAGCGGGAACAATTTGAGCAACAAAGTAATGTCAATGTTGGATTTGAATCCATAGAATAAAATAGCCACGAATTTATTAGTTTTTTGTTCTTGGGGCATTAACCATCAATTTATCCTCTTAAAACAGTACCCATTTATTTCCCGTACTTTCCTTGGCCAGGAGTTTAGGCGCAGCTTAGCTGGGCCCTCGATGGTCCGTGTTCCACCTAGAGACTCAGCGAGGGGCTCCCTCCGCCTCAGTCTCTCCTATTCCTGGAGGAGTTCACTGCCTGTGCTTTGATGTGATGCCCTCGGGGTCTGCAAGCTGCCTATCCTTGCCGTGTGGCTCAGTTCACTCTATGGAAGCCTGCTGTTCAAGGCCATCCAGAGCCCGCCAGCTCCGCACAGGCCTAGGTCCTCCTGTGAAGTCAGGCCTTCCCGGATCCTCTCCCTGTTGGCTGTTTCACAGTCATGGAGTCAGGGCTTTCCCCCTGCAGAATCCCGTGAGCTGCCATGTGACGTTTTGGGGGTGGTGTTTTATCACTTTGGGTATTTCTTTGCTTACTAGCAGAAGCCAAGTCACCCGCTCTGCCCTCTGTCAGGGTGGGGCTCCCTGGCAGTCGTGTAGTGTGCCTGCCACAGTGAGTTTCTCTGGGCGGAAGCAGTCTAGCAGACACACAGAGATGGGGAAGAGGGGAGTTCTTCCTCGCAGCAGACCTTGTGAGTGAATGGGGAAGGAACAAGGGAAGCAAAGGGTCCTCACTGGCAAACATCGTGGTGATGATGGGCAGACAAGACTCTCCATTGGATGCAAAAGTCAGTGGGTACAAGCTTGAGGGGACCCAGGGTTTGCATCGCCCCTGAGGTACTTACCATCTGCAAAGGGCAAAATAGTGACTTTACATCAGAGGAACTTGGTAGGCATCAACTTTACCAAGTAATTAAGGTAAACCATCAGAAATGACACATGAGAATGTGTTGAACCCCTGGACAAAATGAAGTAGGATGTGAGGATGAGAATAACTGATCAGTGCTCTTCAAAAATGTCAAGGTCATGAAAGAAAAGACTGGTCTTTAATGACTGTAAGGAGACTAAAAAAACAACTAAGTGCACTGTGAGATCCTGAGAGGGAAAAAGACAGTAAGTGGGAAATTGGTGAAATTCAAATAGGTCTTCAGTTAACGATATCACACCATGATAAGTTCCTTGTGGTAATTATTTGATGGTTATATACGAGGGGAGTTAAGGGATATAAGAGAACTCTTTGTCCTAGTTTTATAACTCTTCTCTAAATCTAAAATGAATTCAAAATAAAAAGGTTTTTTTCTTAATTTAAAAAATCATAGCATAGACTTGTGTTGAGAGTCAAAAGTAAAATGTGAAAGTCAGCAAAAAGTACAAATTCAGGTGACATATTGATGTTTCATTCTTAGTTTGTGCAAAATTTTGCACACTATTGTACATGCGTGGTAATTGGAGAATGAGAAAAACTATTTTTAATTTAAAAAAAAAAAAAACAACCATAGGCCCTAGCCGGTTGGCTCAGTGGATAGAATGAAGGGTACTGGGTTCGATTTCAATCAATGGCACATACCTCAGTTGCTGACTGGATCTTCAGCCCTGGTCAGGGTGTGCAGGAGGCAACCAGTCAATGTGTGTCTCTCACATTGGTGTGTCTCTCTGCCTCTCCCCTTCCCTTCCACCCTCTGAAAATCAATGCCAAAAAATATCAAGTGAGTATTAGCAAAAAATAAAATAAAAAGTCATAATATGGCCTGGCTGGTGTGGCTCAGTGGTTGAGTGTCGACCTATGAACCAGGAGGTCACTGTTTAATTCCCAGTTGGGGTACATGCCAAGTCACAGGTTCTGCCCTCAGTCAAGAGTGTGGGATGTGCAGGAAGGAGGCAGCCAATGATTCTCATCATTGATGTTTCTAGCTCTCACCCTCTCCTTTCTTCTTTGAAATAAATAAAAAATATATTTTTTAAAAATCATAGATTCTCTGCTGAGAATCAAAAGTAAATGGTCCTTGGAGAATAAATCCGTAAGTGTAAAGTGGTGAAATTTACTCCAGCTCACAGTGGGTTTTCCAGTTGTAACTGTTTGCCCATTGTGCTTCACCTCTTTTTAGACACAGACGAGGGAAACATGGACTTGCTCTAAAACTGTTTTAATGTGAAAGCCTACTTAAAAGTGAATTTATCACTGTGCATGGCAGTATTCTCTTTGAAAGTAATTACCCAACTTCATTTTACTTATGCCAAAAATGTGTCATAAAAACCCATGATTCTGAAGATGTTTACTGAATTCAGTGCAAAGGTTTATCTTCTTCACGTGGAATTTGGACACACATGGTCTTCAGCATCGTGCTTCTCAGAGGGCTTCTGACTCAGCATTGCTCGGCTTGGCCTATGCCTGGGCCTCAGGAGAATGAGTCATAGTAACTATGACACTGTGATGGAAAGATGGGGTGAAAGCAAATGGGGAACTTAAAATCCTTTACGCAAACCTATCTTTACCATGAAAGTTCTGTCTGGATGGACTTCGTACATACATTATCTCATGGCTTTAAACAGCTGTGTCTTAGCACCAGCCAGCAATCGCACCGCGTGGGTGTGGCGGGATTTTGTGAATTCATGAGCTGGGTTTCACGCAGCCTTTTTTCTTGTTAGTGAATTGCCTGTAAGAGCAGTGCCCTGGGCGTGCGTGTAGGTGGTGGTGTCCTTCGCTGACGCAGGATGGCGTTTGTCTTCACTGTCCTGAGGCTGTGCAGCCAGCTGAGCAGAAAGTCCTTGTGACGTGAGTCCTGTGTCCTCGGGAGCCGTTCCCGTGACGGTTTTGAAGTCAGGATTTGGCTGCAGAGTGCTTTGAGTTTCTTAACTGGACTTCGGGTTGGGGCCTTGGGGTATTTCATAGCAAGGACGCGACCCACAGCAACTGTACCTGTAGCCAAGTTGGTGACAGTGTTTACCCTTGAAGTTGTTTCGTCCAGAATGGGAAGTGTTTACGTTGATTAGTTGCTAGTGATGCTAATTGAATACACCTGTCTGAGTCAGCGGCTGGTCCAGTCTGTGCTGCTTGTCTGGTCTCTCCTCCTTCTAATTGTGGCTCTGATATAGGAGGAGCGCCTCCTAGTGGTATCTACCCAGCAGTGTTTCTGGGTGACTGGAAATTCAGGTCTTGGTTTTCACTTCATCTGAGGATGAGAGTGGCAGCGGACCCCAGGAAGGCTCAGAAATGCATTCATAAATGTTTTACATTCTTTTCTAAAAGTGAGACGCCTAAATCCCAAAAACAATATGAGAATTTTTGTGGTTATATTTTAACAACTATTTCTAGCCTGTCTGTATGGAAGATCATTTCCCCGCCTCTCTGGCTGTCACAGATGTGACTGTTTGTAGAGCTAGTACAAAGTGATGTCCTCAGACTCAGCACTCGCTCTTGCTGGTCTGGACTCGCTGCCTGGTGCTGACACAGAAGTGTGTCCTTCGGGCTCTGCTCCTGTCATTGGTGGTGATCACAGTGTGTTAATTTCCTTCTCTCCTCACCTGTGATTCTTTCCGGCTCTGCCGAAGTGGAGGAGGCGGTCCTGTGGTGTTTGATTTAATAGGCTCCCGTCTCCATACCAGGGAGATAGATACGTCAGATTTCTGTCTTTCCGATTCATTTTAGCCACGGGAGGCGCTAGAGGATAAAATAGCATGCCTTGAGGTCTGTGCTAAGTAAACTGCCTTTTTTATTCTATATTTTTATTTTAGAAATACGTCTAAACCTCTGAGCCAGAAAGTGAGTTGAGATCTCAAGTACCCGTGATGATTCTTAAATTTCAAAACCTTTCTCTGCCTTCACATGATTCATTGTTCCCTTAATTAATAAATAAGAAGCACCTTTTCCTTTGACTCTGATTAAGCGCATTAAATAACCAAGATTTGTTATGCTAATGGAGGGATTAAAGGAGTAAAGGCATTCCTCTGTCTAGGAGCTTACCTTATATAATAGTTTGAGAAGACAAACTGCACACGCGTTAGGTTCTTGGAAACCAAATAGAGGTGTTTGCTTTATTAGCAATAAAGATCAAGAGAGATGCAGATGGTAGTTCCTTCTTTCGTGATAACACACTGTATTTTGTAGTCCTGTTATTATGTTTTATAATGGAGATCTAAGTTTATGTTAAATCTCTGATTAATTACAAAGGGTTTTTAGACATCGGTTACTATTACAACATTGAGTGAATATTAGCAATGAGAAACTGGAGGCCACCATCATGCCTGCCCACTTAGAGACAGATTAAACTCAGGAGGATGCGTGCAGTTCACCCGTCTTGGATTTTGTGAAATGCCTTGAAGAAGTGTGTGCCGGAGATTTCAGCTACTCGTTGATTTGTCTCTGAGTTTGGGAACTCATCCAGTAAAAATTGAACTTTTCTGCAGGTCATTTACTGAATATGTTTATGCATCTTTCCTCTTCGTTTTACACACACACACACACACACACACACACACAAAGGGTAAAATATTGTGCTTTTTGAGCCCTTTTTCTGTGTGTGGGGCGGTGCCTTTTGTGACGATAAAGATTAATTATGTGCCTGTGCCTTGGTGTCGCACAGCGGCAGCATTATGCCAAGGATTCCTCATGCCTCTTCCTCTCCTGTTTCCCAGGCAGCCAGATGCCCCCCCAGCCCCCTGGGAGCCAGTCAGAATCGAGTTCCCATCCTGCCCTGAGCCAGTCACCAATGCCACAGGAGAGAGGTGAGTCTTCCGTATTTTGAGAATGTGGGGCTTCTATAAATTTGCTTACCCATTCATATCCTTGTACATAATTTTAAATGATATTGTTTCCTCATCAGATGAACAAAACAAATAAGAACCTTACGTGTCACAACAAATATGGGGGAAAGGGTGCTTTCTTACAGGTTGGGTGAAACTTTACCAAAGTACTGTTCAAGATTCAAAGCATATGTATGTCTGCATAGCAGCCTGAAGCAGTTTATACATAACTCTAGTCCGATATTTGACTTTGCTGTGTAAAAATGACCATTAACAATTCAATTTGGATAGTGGTTCTAATGAGTAAAATGTTAGTGAGGGTGTTTACCTGATTTGATCAGTATTTGTTCCATGATATTTAATACTAAAAATTTGATCAAACAGTAACACCTTGTGTTATAAAATCCCTGGTTTTTAGAACTGGAGCATCTAGAAAGATCAGGGAGTCTGTCACCTCCATGTACAGATGAAGAAAGTGGGGCCTTAGAGGCTCCTCCCTGTGACTTCCTCTTCCTCAGAGGCTGGTGGGGCCAGAGCCAGAGGAAAGGACTTCCCTGCAGCCTTGAGCAGTTCAGTTGTTACATGCAAACCCTTTGGCTGTTGCAAGTTCTGATGTTGACTCCACCTTTCACTGCCTTTGGCCTTCATTTATTGACATCTGTGTCTTTTCTTCCCTCTAGTAGCCAACTGACTTTTTTTTCTTATAAATATATATATTTGATTGGGGGTTTTTTTTGTGTGTGTGTTTTTTTTTTTTAACAGAGAGGAAGAGAGAGGGATAGAGAGTTAGAAACATCAATAAGAGAGAAACATCGATCAGCTGCCTCCTGCACACCCCCTACTGGGGATGTGCCCGCAACCAAGGTACATGGTCCTGACCGGAATTGAACCTGGGACCCTTCAGTCCACAGACCGATGCTCTATCCACTGAGCCAAACTGGTTAGGGCCCAAGTGACTTATTGGTGGTGGTGGTGCAGTGATCTTAATCCATGTTAGAGGGGAGGGTTCACAAGCCTGCTGCACCATCAGGTACTGGCTTCACCCTCCCCCCACAGGAGGTGCCACCCTCCTGCAGTCCCCTTCCCCTCATACTTGCCCACAAGACACATCGGTAGTTTTAAAAGTTTCTGACCCCTAATGTTTATAATTATTTCTATATGAGTTATATATGATTTGTTACTGGTTAGAATTATAAGTTCAGTTATTTTACATATTAAAAATTCAGTAGTTTGTGGCTTAGAAACTAATGCCAGTGAAAAGATGGCTTAGCCTTACCTACACATCATTTGTGTTGAAATGACTGTTTAGTAGGAATACAATAAAATTTTGATTTCCTAATACCTTTGCATATTTAACATTTTTGTTATCATTTAATGTATAATTAATACTTTTCTTTACTTACCAAGTTACTACAGTACGTTTTAATGATGGGATTGTTGATGGATGGTTTCCAAGTTTTAGGGTGCGTAAGGATTGCCTGGAGAGCACGTCGAATAGGTTGCTAGGCCCCCCTCAGACGCCTGTTTCTGTGGGTCTGAGGCAGGACACGTAACATCTGCATTTCTGACGAGTCCAGATATTGCCGATGCTGCCGATCTGAGGACCCTACTTTGGTTCTCACTGCTTCCTAACGACACTGCACTGAGTTCCATAAGTGTGCGATGTGTGCATTAGTTGCTCTGAGCTTCCCACTGTGGCCTCCTAGATAACATTCTTGCAGCTCAGCCTCTGGTGTGTGACTTCCCTGTGGCGCTGGCTGTCCAAGAGATTCACGGGAAGCGCTGGAAGGCCAAGCAAGGGGATCCTCTCCAAGCTCCTTCCGTGGCCGTGGCTGCGGCTGCTCTGTGCTCCTGGGTCGGGGAGGGAGACAAAAGGACCAGAGAAATTATCGCACTGAAGTTGCTCAGGCCAGACCCGAGCTGAGACGACGATATTTGTTATTTCCCTTAATCCTTGCTGAAATATCATTTCTCTGGGAGAATCCTCCTTCCTTTGCAAACATTAAAGGAGAGGAGGTACCTCATTTGAAAGCACTACAATTCTAACCGTTATCTCTGTCGACTAAAAAGGGAAACCCCTCCCAGATCCTCCAACAACGTCTTCCCCAACCTCTTCCCAATGACATGTGCTTAAGAAATCTGAATACACAAAACGAAATGTCGGGGACAAAACAACACTGAGGAACCATAGTTAAAGTAAGCTTTTAACTAGAATATATTAGCAAAGCAAAATCTAGGATTTTCCTCTGCTGTCGCAGTATGGAAACTGCTGGGTGGATATGTCTGCTACTGTTTTCCCTCCAATTCTCTTTATTTTGTGGAGGGTGGTTTTGGTAACTGATAATCCTATATAACAAATATATGCTAAGTGTCCAGTTGTCTGTTCAACCTGGCAGTTCTGGACATCAGCCACAAATCCATTCCCCACCTTATACATAGGTGAAAATAACTGAGTCTCTATAGTTCTGTATTTCCACCTATGAACATGTTTGTGCAAGTATGTGGACGTGGCCGTCATGGGAAGCACTGAGGTATTTATTGGCCTCTGACTCTTTTGTAACATTGTCTTCCCCATACTGTCACCTACTTCTCAACATAAGCTCGACTTCACTCTCTCCTGTTGAACTTCATGTAGTGTTGGAACTGCTTCCTGACTTAACAAAGAAAATTAGCTCACATTTTTTTGGTGGAAAAAAGGGCAAGACTTCAGTTTAGAATTCTCTAACACATTTACCATAGTTTCTATTTTAAACCAAATTGTCTCTCTAAACCTTATAGAATGACAAAGAATTGCTATTTAAAGTACCTCACCAAAAAAATTAAAATAAAAAAATAAACTAATATCAACTAATATCAAATAAACTAACTGCCTAAGCACTGCATAACTCTAATGCATTGAAATAAATGTTACCAAAAAAAATTGTAGCTAACAAGTTTAGCTTAGTTTTTGTCTTTATTTTTTAATCTTTAACATATATTTCTTTTTTTTTTCTTTTTTTTTAATATATATATTTTATTGATTTTGTACAGAGAGGAAGGGAGAGAGATAGAGAGTTAGAAACATCGATGAAAGAGAGTCATCGATCAGCTGCCTCTTGCACACCCCTTACTGGGGATATGCCCGCAACCAAGGTACATGCCCTTGACCGGAATCGAACCCAGGACCCTTCAGTCCCCAAGCCGACGCTCTATCCATTGAGCCAAACCGGTCTTGGCAATCTTTAACATATATTTCTTAAAAATTGAAAAGACCAATAGGAAAGGCTTGTGACTTGTTCTGTTTTCCAAGAGGGCTCAGAGGGAATGTGGAGCAGTCATCGGAGTAGATAAATAAGAATTATTATTATTAACATCAAAATGATTCCATTTTTAACCCCTGCAAAATGCTAAGCTTAATGAAACCAATAAATGCCCTTCCAGTTTATTGGATTAGCAATTAGGTGAAACTGCTTCAAGAAGGCTTATTTATTTGGACAGATGTGGAGAGGTCAGAATTAATTTTTTTAAACCTTTTAATTGAATTCCCTTTTAATTTTCTCAGTGGCACCAGTTAAATGTGCATGTTAATGCTGGTTTTCCGAAGGGCTGAACTAGACCTGGGTTCTCAAAACCAACACGGGCTGTTTAACCCTTTTCATCTGGGCGCCAGCGGGGACTTCCCCTGTAATCCCTTAGCGTGTGAATAATTAGAAGGTGGTAATGAGGATTTAATTAGTCCTCGAGATATGTGGGAAGCAGAGCCACTAAGAACTTTCCCTTCCGGACACGATTGCAAACAGAAGAGTGGCGGCTGCAGGGCCGTGGTGAGCCAGGCTGGTTTCTGTGGCCGGAGGCAGTTCTCGGGCATCTTTCTGAGACTGGGGGTGTGTGCAGAAGGGATCCTGGGTGCAACCTTCCGGAATTACTGAAGGGCACCTCGCCGGCCTCCAATCTCCTCCACCTACACGACAGCCTCCCTGCTGCGGAACACGGCGCAGTGACGGGCTTGCGGAGCCTACGCGAGGGCTGGCTTGTCCTGTGTGGGGGGGGGGAATGCGGGGATCAACACCGACAGGCCGTGACTCCACATTTACTCCGCTGCCGCAGCACAAGGAGAGCATGAGCCCGCGTCGTGTGGCTGTTTCATAGTCTCAGGTATTTGAACCAGACTCAGTCCTTGGCAGCTGTACGTCAGGGAATGACAACACTCATGTCTGGAATGTCATCTTCACAGTGATATGTATCAATAGCTCCGTTTTTATAAGTACACGTAGAGACATTATCAGGGGGAGAAGTATAGCAGAAGGCACTTCGATGTTCTTTTTTTAACTTTTTCAATTACAGTTGACATTCAGTATTGCTTTGTGTTAGTTTCAGGTGTACAGCATGGTAGTTAAACAATCATACATTTTACACAGTGATCCCCTGGGTGTTTTTCAGTCCTCACCTGGCACCACACATAGTTAATGCGATATTAGTGACTCCTAGAGGCCCGAAGCACGAAATTCGTGCAAAAATAGGCCTCGATCCCAAGGCTACAGTCCCAGCTTTGTCCGAAGCATGTACAGTCTAATTAGCATATTATGCTTTTATTATTATAGATACCTGCTATGCTGTACTTTACATTCCGGTGAATATGTTATGAAGACTGATTTGTTGTTCTTAATCCCTTCATCCTTTTCACCAGCCCCCTTCCCTCTGGCCCCTGGGCTGGCCCTGAGTCTGAATCTGCTTTAGATGTTTCTGTTTGCCACTGAGATTGTGACGTGTCAAACTTACATGTGTCATATATATTGATCAGCTAGAATATGTCTTTATTATTATGTTTTTTCTTCTATTAATCCCAAATGTTAACTGCCTTGGGATAATTTTATCTCTACTCTTTAGTGCTGTGTTTTAGGGTGTTTTTTTTTTCAAAATATGAATAGAAATTCTAGTCAGATTTCTAGGCATTCTGTTTGCTTAGGGAAAATTTTTCTGTTACTTTTTAATGCCAAGGGCAAGGAAAGCATTCTCTGGAAATAAACCCAGGGTCTTGCTGTAGAGGAGACTGCGCTCTGCAGGGCCAGGCGAGCCGTGGATGCCCCCGCACCCCGGGGTCCGCTCCGCAGAGAGCCTGGGGGTGGTACATGCTCACCAAAGGCTGCAGGGCCAGCGGAACCAGGCCGGCCTCCGCACCATTCCGAAGTTTCAGATCTTTCTAGAGCTTAGAACAACCAGTCAACTACTCATTCTTCAATGAAGAAGCCTTACCGTATTAATAAGACTTTTGATTTTAACATCATATGTCATTTGCTGCTGTGGGAACAGTGTTTGTCTGTAACAATTGTGATTCTGCATGTTTTTAGTGCACCTAGCTCAGGTTTCATAGTGATTTTTATACCAAAAATTGGTTTTGAACTTTTAGAAATTATTGTTGAATATCTTAATTGACCTGACTCCTGATTAAGTTAGTAAAGAAACGAAGGAGACCACCAAGATAACTGTCGAGGCACAAGTAGGATTAAGGTTGCTCTCTGTTCTTACGTCTGCAGGAACTCTTATTTCTCTTGCTGTGGGGTTGGAGCTGTTTTGTTTCTCTCCGTGGGGTCCTCTCTGTTCTAAGTGTGCCGGTGAATTGGCAGGTGCTGGCGTGTCTCATAGGCAGCCTGGCTGTTAGGAGATGTTCTCCACCCACCTTCCTCATCACCCCGGACAGAAAGGCGCTCTTGTTTACCTCGTGAGCGCGCTACATAGAGTGATGCTGCCATTAGCACGGGGCATTGTCAAGAGGAGAGACATGCTTTCCTGTGCGTTGCGTGCAAGGACAGCAGCTCGGTGTGTTAGGCATTAATGAGTCTGCCCCCACCCCCAGATGCAATTAATTCAGCCTCTGCTCTTAATTGAGGATCCCTTTTTTAATAATCCATGACAGATGAAAATGAACTCAAATGGGAGGTTATATACAAGAGAGAATATCTAGAAAGCTGTTTCTAATTTCTTCAGCCAGAACGCTGAGCTGGATTGTGGATCAAGCCAAACCGAATCAGTAATGAGAGAAATGACAGCGTAGGGCCTAATTTCCTATTAAGTCTGCTATCAAGAGATATGGCCACAAAAAAACCTGGAAAACAAGTAGCACATACAGTAAAAGTAGGTTCATATTCATTGAGGAATCATCCGTCTATAAATTTTAAATATTTTAAAATCATAGTTTTGTTAATTTTGCCATAAGCGGTATTTTTTGATTTGGCCATTTCAGCTTGGTTTTACTCGTTAGCACTCACCTATAATGGCTTATGCTTCTGGGAGAGTGTGAGAACACGTGGATCTTAGCATCCCACGTGCACTTGATACTGCACTCTGTGCTCTGGGTCTGGGAGCGACCATGTCTGCCAGCTGCCCAGGCCCGAGAGCTCAGGGCATCCCCCATCCTCACGGTCTGCGGGTGCTGCCTCGCAATGCTTTACACACATCTCCTTCACTGGCGTCCCTTTCACAGCCTGGCCAGGCCACCACGTGCCCTCACCGACCTCCAGAGCCCTGTTTCAACGCCGTTCCCTTCCTGCCCGCTTCCATGCATTCATGTGTCTGTCCAGAAGACTGACTACACTGTCCTTCCCCCGTGGAGGCCGTGGGGAGTTTCGCTGTGCCGCCTGAGAGAGAGTGCCCGTGAGCCAGTCCGGAGCCCTGTCTGGGCCCGCCCAGCCTCCCTCGCTGGTCCTCCATGTCATGACCGCTGGCTCCTGCCTCCCGCCTGGCTGGACCCTGCGAGGATCTTTATGTAAACTCTTCTCTCCCACCCTTTACCATCCACTCTTCAGCCCTATCCCTATCCCCGACATGGGTCCCTGGCCTGGTTGACTCATCCCGAATGTTCTCTAAGTGTGATGAGAACATTTGGGATGAGTCAACCAGGCCAGGCACGTGCTAGGTGCTGAGTCTGCGTTCGCTGAGGGCAAGGCCGTTATTCTGGGAGTGAGCTCTTAACGGATGCCAGCATGGACACAGGTGGTCCAAGTGCCAGCAGGGAAGCGGGCCTTGCTTTGGTGGCCTGTGGGGCTGTGGGTGCTTCGCTGTGTCCGACAGGGCAGGACGGGCTGCCGCTACCCGCAGGTCGGACGAGGAAACCACACTCCGGGTATGTGGTCCGTGCTCGCTCGCTCCCTGCCCTTAGCCATAGCCGTAGTGGCACACGTGCTCTTCCTTTGCTCTCTGCTCCTTCTTGGGCTGCACTGGTTTCCCAGCAGCAGTTGACGTTGTATGTACCCTGACTGGGAATCAAACCTCGTTCATAGGTTGTTGCTCAACCGCTGAGCCACACCAGCCGGGCTGTTTTGGAGGCTTTTTGGAGCATTTGCCTAAAGTCACACTGCTAATTGGATCCATATGTTTGTCTGCCTGTCTTTTTCCTGCTGGGTCCTGGACTAGTGTGCAAGCCAGGCCGGGACCCAGGCCTCTGTCCCGCGGGCGCGGTCAGAGGCGTGAGGCCCCGAGGAGCTGGGTGGTTATGTCCCCTGTCCTGGTCGGGGCTGACAGGGAAGGTGCCTCTAACTGAAAACACAGAACGAGATTTCCGGAAGCTCTGTGAGAGGTGTCATTGCCAAAGCATCAGAGCAAAATCAGCTTTCCGATTTCCATTTCTGTGGACGGAGGTGGTTCCCATACCCCCGTCACCTCTTCCCCACGGCGGGAATGTGCTGCTGTGACACCCACCCGTCTCGGAGCCTTTCACGTCTGATTTTCCGCGGAAAGCCAGCGATCGTTCATGTGGATGTGACGGTGCACTTTAAGGACGGAAATAAAAGGATGGCTTTGCCCAAGCAGACTCTCAGAGCTCCTCTGAGCAGAGCGGGCGTCCGTGGACAGCGCCAGAGGCGGCCACAGCGTCAGGCGGACAGCGATCAGAGTTGGTGGCGAAGCGAGTCCCAGGCTGCTGAAAGGACCTGTGTTTCCTGACCTGAAGAGGAAGAACGCAGGCCTTCTCTGGAAGGAAGGAAGCCCGCTGGGCCGAACGGAATTGAAACACGTTTTCTATTAAACAGGACTCTGTGTGAAACTCCGGAGAGTTCTATCATAAGGCTTAGATAAATATTTCATGTAACGTCTTAAGATGCAATCATTTTTAGTAATTTTAGTGCTCTGATTTCTGTTTGTTTTCAGATTTGAAAAAGCAAACATTTTCTCTGCTGATTTATATCTGGAAGCTGCCAATTGAGCTCAATTTCATAAGGCTCATCTTTATAAATAAATGAAATAGGATAATAAGGACCAGCTCTCCGTGCTTTTATGTCTATCTCCTACAGAAGCAACGGCAAGAGGTCTTCTTTCCTGCGATGTTTGCCACGCAGGCCTCAGAGAAGCCCTGTCCCAGCTGGCCCCTGGTTGGCCGCCTTGGCCCAGGCATGGCCTGCCCCCCCCCCCCCCCGTGCCTCAGTGGCTGCTCTGGAAGCTCTGCTCCAGGTTCCCCCCCAGACGAGGCCAAACCTGCCCCTCTCGGCCCGTCCAGCGCACTGGAGCCTTCGCCCCACATCCGGGAACTCTCACCAACCCAACTTGGGGTTCTCAGAGCTGTTAATCCAACAGCCCTTGTCAGTTCGCTGGTTCGATGTTGGCTTCTGAGAGGCATGTCTTGATTTGTGGTGCACTTTGTCTCGATGTGTATTTCAGCCCGACTGGCGTGGTCAGTGGTTAGCATTGACCTATGAACCAAGAGGACACAGCTGGCTTCCCGGTCAGGGCACATGCATGGTTAGGCAGTCTGAGCTGGCAGTGGGAGAACTCCCAGAAGGCGGATGGCTTACAGGGCAGTGAGGAAGAGGAGGAGGAGGAGGAGAAAGCAAAGAAATAGGGTTAGAGTGAGACTGTGATCCCAGCCCCAGGCCAGGGGTTTGCACTCTGGTCCCAGGGTCAGCGGGAGGCTGGGGGTTCTGTGCAGGGAAGACATGCTCTCCTTTCGTTCTGGGCTCCTGAGAGGTGGCGTGGCAGCTGTGGGGAAGGTGAGCCAAAGGAGCAAAGTGAGGCAGAGGGAGGCGCTCGGCACAGCCGCTGCGGGAGAGAAGAGGGAGCCGGCTGGCTTGTGGACGTGGGATGGAGCAGAGGCTGGGGGTGTGTCAGATGTGGAGGCTGGGGATGTGCAGATGGTGGGTCGCACAGGAAATCAGGGAGAGGGCATGGTGTCAGGAGTTCCGGCGTGAACGTGTGGGTGGGTGGTGGTGCTGTACATGGAGACAGGGAAACCTCGGGAAGAACGGTGTGCAGGGCAAGGCCTGTTCTGTTCTGGAATATCAGACGCGTACATGCCACCATGTGCTAGTTGTTTCCAGTTTGCCCCCAGTGACGGTGTGAGAAGGGGACTCACAGGTCTGCTCTCTGCGTAGGAGTTGAGGTGAATGGTTGTTGCTCTAGGACAATGGTCGGCAAACTATGGCTCTGTTGACTAATGAGTTTGCCATCCACTGGGATAGAGGCTTAATCATAATGAACAACAACAGCCTGTAATTATTGGAATTGAGAGTCTAGGTCAGTGGTCGGCAAAACTCATTAGTCAACAGAGCAGCAAACGGAGGCTCGAGAGCCGCAGTTTGCCGACCACTGCTCTAGGAGACGGAGGGGGACAGTTACACGCAGGAGGAGGCGCTGTTGGCGGGGCGTGAGGAGAGGTGGGATGTTTGAGTGACAGCGTCCCACAGATGCGGAGGTGACAAAGCTCCCTGGAAGTGGCGAGAGCAGCATGTCCCTCCCGGCAAGGAGGGTCCCGTCCTCACAGCTGCTTTCTGTGGGGACCTCTGTAAGACAGGCCGAGGGAACTTGTCTTTCCTCCCTCTCCTCCTTTCCCTAGTTCCAGTCCGCAGTCCACGGAACCCTGAGCTCTCCAAAAGCCCCACCCCGGTCTGAGATGTATTAATACCTCGATGTTACCTCTCCCGCCCCCTCCACACAGTTCCGTGGCCGTGTCTGTCACCGCATTTATGTATTGCCTTTTCTTTCCTATTAGGTTTCATGGCAGGCACACAAAGGAACCCCCAGATGTCTCAGTATGGGCCTCAGCAGACAGGCCCGTCCATGTCGCCGCACCCCTCTCCTGGGGGCCAGATGCATCCTGGGATGAGCAGCTTTCAGCAGAGCAACTCGAGTGGTTCGTACGGTCCACAGATGAGCCAGTATGGACCACAAGGTGAGAAAGGAAGGAAGGGAGGAAAAGTGCTTCCAGGTGCCTGGCGGGGGGCAGCAGTTTTGTTCATGTGTTAGTTCTTCAGGATCGGAGTAGTGCAAACATCTTCTGATCCCGCTAAGTGTTACCTGGCAGATCTGTGAGGTTCATGCCAACCCACAGCCCTTTAGTTGCCCATAATGATGGGAGTAATAATCATAGAAACTCTTCATTAAGCGTCGGCACATCAGACACTGTGGTCAGTGCTTTCACACTGTTACTAATAAAGGCGTAACTCTTATTTCTGTAGTACAGTTCTAAATGCTTCCTGGGGAAAAGACACAAGCCTTGTCCTCAAAAGCGTCTTATTTAAAACTCAGTTTCATTGTGTTGAATTCTGGTCTGCCCGCTCCTCCTCTGCGGAATTAACCTCACGATGACGTGCTTGCGAGTCAGAGGGGATCGCCCGTTAAATCCCCTCCAGTTTGTCTCCAAAGCACAAATCAGGTAAATAATTCTAATTCCCCAGCCGTCACCAGTCTTCCTTTCAGAAGACGGGAGAAAGTCTGAAATGGACACGTCTTTCAAAGGGGAAACTGAGGCAAGAGCAGAAAAACAAGTGGAATTACGCCCCACATTGCACTGTGCATTCTATGCCTTCCTGGCAGCGGATGTCTGTTTTGTCGTGGACATGCAGAATCCTCTTACCTGGTTTAAAACCTGGTGTGTGTGTGTGTGTGTGTGTGTGTGTGTGTGTGTGTGTGTGTGTACACATTTTCCCCCCAAAGTCATTTTTGACAAGGCATTTGAATTTAGCACCTTCTTTATATTTCGTTTATTTGAATTAGACATTAAAAGATAATTTAGAGAGAATGTGATAGTCTGGCACCATTCCCAGGGTGTCCTCACTTCTGACAATACAGGAGCAGTCCCAGTGAGGAGGGTGAGTTCCCTGCAGGGCCCTGGAGCGAACTGCTTCCCTCCACACGCGGTCGGTGTGCTGTGGGAGCTTGAGTCCCAGGGGCCGTGGCGGGATGCGGGGTGCGGGCCCGGGCGCCCCCACAGCCTCACCTGCTTCCTCGGCCGGCTCTGCTGGCCGGCGGCTGGCACTGCGGCCTGAAGATGCCTTGCCTTGTTTTTGCACGCGCCTCCGGTGCCTCCGGTGTAGCACTTGGCTCTGTGGGCTTGGTTCTGTGCCGAGCCAGCTGTTTCTGGAGGAGACGGTATCGGCAGCCCCACACCACGCTCTTCCCAGGCCTCCCTGCCTCTGTCGTGTCTGTGACAGAGGGGACAGGCGTGTCGTGAATGGTCTCCACGTGTGAGCTGCAGGCACCTGGGGGTTTCCATCCAGTGACAGGACGGGAGCTGCTCCGCGGCGGTGGCCGGCCACCACAGCGTTTGCTGGCTGCCGTGCAAAGAGGAAACTGAAGGTGGAAAGCAGGTCCTGAGTGTGAGAGGCACGGAAATGTGGGCTTTGCTCAGAATGTCGCCGGAGGCCAGGGCAGAGCGGCTGCAGGCCTGGCTGCACTGGGAAGACCCGGGCTTCCTGGACCGCCAAGGCCGGGCCCTGCTCCGGACTCACTGCAGCCTCCCTCCTCCCTCCGTGATCTCCCAGAGGAAGCGGGTCTGACAGGCTTGTGAAGGACAAGAAAGCGCTTGCCCTACAAGGGAGGAGAGTTTTCGTAGAAATGGGATTTCCTTCCCTCGGTTTCTGGAATTATTGAACATGTAAGAGCACTGAGCCATGGGGGGCTCATCCCAGGACGCTGCTCACGGAACTGATCTGTTCGCGGGGGGGGGGGGGGATTATGGTCCCTTGGAAGTAGCCTCTGATTCTAACACTCAGTGAGTGAATTTCATGTCAACTCGAGCGGTTGACATGGATGCAGCCCCGGGGACCTGCCAGAGGTTATAGGGCTAAGAGGCCGCTGTCCCGAGGTTTTCCTAGGACATACGGACTGAGTTTAGGTCGTAGGTATTAGAAACCGTTTAAAGTAAGCATGATGTCCTTCCTGGTGTGGCTCAGTGGATAGAGCGTCAGCCTGCAGACTGACTGAAGGATCCTGGGTTCGATTCCAGTCAAGGGCACATGCTGATTGCAGGTTCGATCCCCAGCGGGGGACATGCTGGAGGCAGCCGATCAATGATTCTCTCTCATTGATGTTTCTCTCTCCCTATCCCTTTCTCTCTGAAATCGATAAAAATCTACTTAAAAACTAAAACAAATAAAGTAAGGGTGGTAATTTCCACACGCAGCACTCTCTAACTGTGAAAGAAAGTGTCCGTACGTCTGTGCTCTGCGTGTGCACCTTTCCCATCCATCTCCAGCGCGTTCCACTGTGAGGGTCCCTCCCGGGTCTGTCACTGGTTCCAGGAATTGCCTTCAAGGAGCATGGATGCCATTTGGGAAAAAGACCAACAATACTAGAGACTAAGAAAAAATTTCTATGACGTTAAGAGGAGACATTTTTAGAAATGTCTATGAATACTGTAAAACCTAAATTATTAAATATACAAATGGGATGATCTAAGTGTGTCAAAATGTTCGCCATACATTTTATGAACTAGTAAACCTTCAAGTAAGCACATTTAATAACTACCCTTAGAGTGCTCGCAAGTAAAGAGGGCCATAGGGACTTGCCTTAATAAATAGAAAGGAATTATGTAATTGACATGCTAATCGCTCACAAAGGCACTTGTGCGGGAGGAAGAGAGCGGAAATGGGTTTCACAAGGATGGTCGCACTTGTTTTGTGCTCTGGGCCTGTGTGTGCCACGCTGCCCACCACCTGGCATATTTGTCACTAACTGTGCAATAGGCAGGTCTCCCCTGAGTTTCTCTGTAAGAAGGATTGCCTCGGGCAGCTAGCATACCCCCAGGTGTCACTCATCTATCCCTAGTGTCTAGGCACCGCATACACAGGTTTACACGACGCAGCCCTGGTTTTACGCCTTAATTTGTACAGTATGTTTTAGGAAGCACAGAACGTACAAGTAGGTGAGTTTGATGAGCCTTTTATTTCTAAATTACATTGTGAAAGATGTTTTCCAGACAGGTTAAAGTTTTTTTCTCTAAAACAAATGAGGTGCTGTCTGAAATTGTCCTGTCCTCGTTAGAATATGTTTCTCATAAATTCAGCAATGGCAAACTTTAAATGGAACCTCATTGAAATGAATGCAGTTCTGAGTGAGTTTCACATCAATAATCATATGCTGTTTCAGTTCAAGAGGAACAATTTGTAAACGTTACTAGTCATCAGCTCCTCGGCTATGGGAGAGGTGAGGACCGGCCCGGCCGTGACCGCCCTGTTGTCACCATGACCTGATCTCAGCCCCAAGCTGGTCACTGATTTACCTAAATCCAGCCCTCGGCCTCATCACTGAATTACCTAAATCCAGCCTTGCCTGCCGCTTGTCTCCTGGCTCAGCTTACCGTATTTTCCGGCGTATAAGACGACCCCCTAATTTTACAGTTAAAACATAGGTTTAGGCCTATATTCGCTGTATAAGACTACCCCCCACTTCCGAGGCAACACCAGTTCTTTTTTTAATAGACCGCCTCTCTGACTCTCGCCAATCTGAGCAGGCTTTTTACTAGAACACAGTAGTCGTCTTATACGCCAGAAAATATCGTATGTCCCAAAGCAGCTGAGGCCACTCTCTCTTCCGCTTGCTCGCTTCTCTCTTGAAATAGGTTGTAATGCACTGGATGTGTTAATGGCTTTCTGTTCCCTAAGCCCTACTTTATGGTTACATTGACAGTGCTAGGCAAAAGTATTCATTCTGTATTCTGACCTGCTTTGTTGTTAAAGAAAATTCTGAATCTACACTAATAAAGATTATGCAAATTGACCGTACCTCCATGACGCCCACCAACCAATCAGGCATATGCAAATTAACCCAACAAAGATGGTGGGTTAATTTGCATACACAAGAAAGGGGCAGGACACTTGCTGCGATGAGGAGGGTGGGGGGCAGAGGGAGCTACAGAAGCAGCACTCTGGCCGGAGCAAAGACTGAATCTCCAGCCCGAGTGAAGGTGGAAGGTGGCGGCTGGAGCAAAGGCCTGGGTCTCGGTGCCAGAGGAAAGCTGATGCCAGCAGCCAGGGGCAGGAAGGCCTATTCTTGCACGAATCTTCGTGCAGTGGGCCTCTAGTATCTTACTAATATGAGAAAAAACAAATTGTAATACATCATTTTATAGCAAAAGGTAATTAATGCAGTCTTCTGTCAGTGCTCAAATTTAGCCTTCAACTTACAAGATTTAAGGAAGAATTTTTCTTAGCAGACTGATAGTCATCATAACTTTATCAAAACCTGGGAATTAGGAAAGAAATGAAATTATAAAATTCAAGTAAACTGAAGGTTAAAAAGAGAAAGAAAAAATTAAAAACAAAGCAACTTGAATTTGAACTAGTATGAAGCTAACTGTTGTAAATAATTAAATAAGTTAATGTTGCAAATTAAAATCAATGGCATTTGAAAGTTCCAACCTTCACTCATCAGTGGCCTTTTAACTCTGTCCGGGCCTTGGTCACCACAGTCCTGGCCAGCAGTAGAGACACAAAAGTGAACTGCAGCTTTGCTTATCGTCTGCCATCTTTCCACGTTTGTTTGAAAAGAAATGGCCTGTGGGATCACACTTCGCCTTGAGTGGCACCAAGTGTCCTTTCTGAAGGGACCGTGGCCACCAGGTGAAGCCCATCAGAGCTCTCCCTCCAGGGGGCGCCCTCCCCGCACAGTCCCTGTGGGCCAGCCCAGGGCACAGCAGCCCAGCCCAGGGAGAGGCAGGGGCTCAGTGTGACTCAGACGCCTGCATTTCTTACCGAAGAGATCGTCCGTTGATGAGTTACGATAATACCTTTCTACATTTGTTAAGTCATGCTTTTTCTCATACTTACCTGTTGGAGAAATAAATTGGAATTCTGCCTCATGAAAGTAAAATTTGGCATATGGCACAATATATAGTAAAAAGATAATTTCACTGATTAAAAAGATACCTTATTAATATTGGAACAGTTTGTG